GTTGAGTATCTGTCCTCACTACCATCAGGCTTTGCCCCACCGGTCAAGACTTCTCATTGCAACTTCGAGAATACCTCTCGAAGCTAGTCACCAATGTGCACCAGTTCAATCGAATTTTGAGGGAGTTGTAGGGATTTGGAAATATTTCAAGTTGTTATTCATCATAGACTGACATCAGTTCGATGAACAAAGGAAACTTAGGAACATTGGACAGCTGTTTCTTCCTAGTGGTGCGAACCCACTACCTCACCAGGGATCGTGGGCTAACAGAAGTGGAAAATATGGTTTCTGACCCAGTGGCTCAATGATAACGTGCTGGCCAAAGAACTTGAAGGTCACGGGTTCTATCCCTAACAGGGTCGTGAGTGCGCACCACTCAGGAACCCCACACTGGGACGAAACAGCTGTCCAGTGTTCCCAGGTTTCCTTTGTTCCCCAACTGATGTCAGTCTACAATGAATAACAACTTGAAATATTTCCAAATCCCCACAAATCCCTCAAAATTCAATTACTTAAACGTGTCAAAACCGAAGCATCTAGCCAAATTACTTATACTTCTGATAATTTGATTGGTTGTGGCTAGCAGAAGAATTCAGGACGTGCGTTTCGTCCTAGTCGGGACTCGTCAGCTGGATGCACCTACACCCCACTGAGACTTGAACCTCGTACTCATCGCTACAAACGCCAGGGCGTTATCCACTATGCCACGGAGGAACGATAGACACTTCTTATACAACGGGTACTTGTACTCTATTAAAGTAATAAAACGAAGCTGGCCTATATGGGAAAATGACTCTTGTTTTGTAATTATATTTCATTTACTCTATTTAGAGTAAAGATTATACAATGAATTTTATGCCAACCACAACAATAATGACAATGAAAAGCAGATTAAAGATTCATATTTCGATTGGAAAAAAATGCAAATAAATATACTGCATATTTATTGCTGCAGTAATGGATGCCAACAGGAAATGTCTATTTCTCTTTTCGATAATACCTTAGTCTTTGTGGGTATGTAGAAGGGGGGGGGTGGAGTGATGGTGGTAGGAAACGCATTCGTTTGGTAGATTACAACGGAAGCCATAATGACAGCAACAACAAGCTTGACATATAAAAAAAATTGAAACAAGTTAGTTGAATGTCAGACGCTGACAAAGATTTGACATTTATTCATGCGTATGTTAAAGATGATATCGTTGGGTAATAAAAGTAATGGTAATGATGTGATACTGGTTATCAGGTTGCTTAGAGTTGACATGACATTTTTTTAAAAAGAGAAATTCTTCTCATCATCATATGAATTCCAAATATTTCATACCCAATTCACATCAAATACATTATGTATATGCTTTTTGTCCGAAATTTCAAGGACTAATCAATCATGTATATATTATACACTTGTTTATATTTATTAAATCATACAGTTTCAGTGCAAAATATTTATTACCTGGAGATAAAGACAATGATCGGGATCGTGGAAATGATCAACGTGATTTATAAGGAATATTGTAAAGTTTTACGAAAAATGAAGTTCACGAATGCCCTCGAAACTCTCTATACACATCCTAAATTAATACTATTATTAACTGAACCTAGGGTTCCTAGTGAAGCATATGGATTCAATAGCACGCCACCACTCCACTCTCTTCTCTCACATCTTCTTAACCTGGCTCCATCACGCCCTATAAACTCTCATTTATTCCTCACACTATCTCCTCCATATCACACACGCCTCGGACGCCCAACTCGTCGTTTCTCATGCGGGTTCCACTCGACGGCCTGACCTGTCACGTGATGTCCCCAAACCGTCTTCTCAGTGCATATCCAATCCAATCCACCTACACTTTATCCCTCTGCATATTTGTTGGAGGATGAGTTCTTGCTTCGTTGGTTCGTTGCCAGCCAGCCAGCCAGCCAGCCAGCCAGCCAGCCAGCCAGCCACCAGCAGCCAGCCAGCCAGCCAGCCAGCCAGCCAGCCAGCCAGCCAGCCAGCCAGCCTTCTTGCTCATTCTTATTATTCTGGCCATACATCTGATCTTCAGTGTCAGTATCCAGTGAGTGAGTGAGTGAGTGTAGGTGGCAGTTGTCCATGTGGTGCATGTCTCCAGTTTGTTGGAAATGCTTTCCGTAATGCGCCAACTCTCTCAACCATCACATAGATGCACTGACTTACTTGACTGACATGAGTGTTGAGAATCCGGATGTTGTTCACGCTTTATGCTGAGTGTAGTGCAGTGCAGTTGACCTCCACACTGATTACTTCAGATTAATGAGGGAGTATCTTGCTGTCTTTCAAATCCTGGATTTGCTATTCTCATCTGTACCACAATCTGCATTTGAGTGCATGCTACCCCATCTTGGTAGGTGAAACAGATAACGTCCTCCACATTTCTCCTACTGATGGTGATAGCTGCTGGTCGTTGTTATTTTTGCGTTGGTTATGGTTGTTGGTTGGGTATCCTCATCATCAGTGTCTCCTCTAAATTCACTTGATGCCCTGTCTCCCTTCGCTGCCTCGCCTCTTCTGTCAACTTGTGCTTTTTGCCTGTACATCTTCGAGTTTGTGCGACATTTGACATTAGACATGAATCGTTAACGCCGAAATCCAAATCTTCTTGTGGGGTCCTTTCATCGGTCTAACCAGCCTATGTCCATCTTCTCACAGCTCCTCACAGTTGTCTGTTGCACGATCCTGTTGAGTCCAGTCCAGTCCAATCCAGTCTAGTCCAGTCCAGTTCAGTCGAGTACAGTCAGGAGGATGTTCGGTGATGGTAGGTGGCAACCTTGTCTCACTCCTTCCTGTCTTCACTTCAAGGCATCATTGAATTTTCCATTGTAAATCACTTGGTGTGTGGCATTGTGGTGTAGCATGTATCTTCTGTTGGGCAAGGTTGATAAAGTTTTGTGTCACTAAGAAGATATTGTGGAAGCACCTGCCAAATAATTTCTTGGTCGACGCTGTCGAAGGCTTTTTCAAAATTGATGAAGTTAAGTTAAAGAATTCACTACCATTCTATGCTCTGTACTCATTTTTTAAGTTTCATAAAAAATTTATTATTTTCAAACATCAGGCGGTTATGGACAACGCTTTAACACGGACAGTGTTTTGGAATATCATTAAAAAAATTTCGGATTATTCACACACAAGCATTTCCGACGGCCTACCTAATTGATTAGCATTGAGTAAATTTTCTGTTTTGAATTCAGTCATTTATTTTGGTGTTTATGAAGATTTTATCCACTAAGGTAGTATTTCGTTTGATATCCTGAAGTTCTAATGAGAAGCCATAATCTGCGGAGTCAACCAGTCAAAAATGAAGTGAATGTCAAATGCGCTACATCTTAAATTGACAGAAGAATCACTGAACCCGAACTCAGTTGCATATTGGTAAAGCTATTTTTATTGTGGAACCTGAAGGTTCGGAGTTCAATCCCTGTCGAGTTCGCCGATGCGTAATATCGAGGAGTCTCATGTCAAGACGAAACAGCCGTCCAGTGTTCCCAACTTTGCAATGGTTCTGAAACTGATATCCATCTGAGATGAATACTTCCTAAATTTAATTAACCGAAATTCCAGTGAACAGAATTTTGTAGTAAAATCTAACCATTATTCATTTGTTATCAGATGTTGAATGAATATTAACATGTAGGATAACATATCGGTCGGTATTCAGTAACTTAGAATTAAGAACACAATCCCAATTCAGAATCAACACATTTTTAATTCAGTCAAAAGTGTATAGCTAACGCTCACTTTATTTCCGCATAGAAATTACTTGGTAGTATTTTTCAAATGATTAGGCCATTATTTATTATTATTTGTCCCTTGAGTCCTTAATGGAACAAAGGGCTACAATAGCACATCTCCAGTACACTCTCTCTGCTGAAAACTTTTCAACCTGGTTCCACGACAGCCCACAAGCTCTCATTTCTTCCTCGCACGATCTCCTCCATGTCACCCTCAGCTGGGACGCCCAACTCATCGCTTTCCATCTGGGTTCCACTCGACGACCTGGCCTGGCGTATGATGTCCCCAGTTGGCCTTCTCAGTGTATATCAATCCAATCCATCTCCACTTTCTTGTGAATATTTGTTGAGCGATAGCTTCTTGCTTCGTTGGTTTGTCCACAGCCACAGTTTCTTGTTGTTTGTTCTTATTATTCTGGCCATCTGAGCTTCAGTAGTGAGCTAGCGTAGGCAGTTGTTGATGAATATTTGTAGTTTGTTTGGAATGGTTTTCGTAACGTGCCAAGTCTTAGAGCCATAAAGAAGCACTGAATTACTTGACTGAATTAGTGTTGAAAATCCTGATTCTCTTCACGCTTTATGCTGAGTGCAGAAGATCTCCACACTGGTTTCAGGTCAATGAACGCCTGTTTTGCTTTTTCGATCCTGAATTTGACATCCTCGTCTATGCCACGTGTAGTTGAAACAGTATTAACTAGATGGGGAAGGAGGCTACTTCCTTTAATTTTCTCCAATAGATGGTGATTGGAGCTTGTTGGTGGTGGTGGTGGGGTTGGTTGGATATCTTCATCACCTCTGTCTTCTCCACTTCACTTGAAGTCCCATCTTCCTTCTCTGCCCTGCCTCTTCTGTCAACTTGTTAGTAATGTATTTATAATAAGGATAATTTTTAGTTTTTAAAATTTCTTTTATTACATGGGATATTTCTACTGAACAGCAACGTGGCTTTAAAGTCAGTAGAGTTGATATTTAGTAAAATGCAAATATGACAACTACGTAGGATAAATTCTTAAACAAACTGGGCTTCAGCTCCATTCCAAAGATTACTTATTCAAACAAGTGAAGCATATTTAAATGATCAATCTTCTCCTAAAAATACTCAAGATTAATCATTCACCTTGGTTTCCTCTAGGATTAAAACTATGCTTGTTGAAAAAGATTACAGAATAAAATATTTTGATTTTCAATTATCTGAGAACCTTAACTTTTGTTAACTTCTCCCCCTTCGCATTTTCTCTCATTTCTTTTAGACTGAAAAGATGTATTCAGAAAATTATATTACAGAATGGATCGTAGCAGTTCTGATTTACGGAAGTATCATTGTATTGTATTGTGATTGTACTACTTACGACAGAAGTAATTACATTGGTTATATCAATACCGGTGATAGTGGTGTTGGTGGCGACATCATTAATAATGAAGCATCTACAACACCTCAATACAATTTACGCTATGCAATCACAGAGGATCAGCCAATAAACTTCAAAATTGGTAAAATTAATGACGATCTATTACAAACACCTGAGTTAAGATCAACTCGATTGTTCAAGTTATTACAGTCAAAGAAACAAGTCAACTTATATTATCGATTAAGTGAACCATCAAATTATTTCGATGTAAATGAATCAACAAGTATATTGTCTACAAAGAAACTAATCGATTTAGAAACTTTATGCCCAAGATACTGTAGAGAGAATACCTTTCATGCTCAGTTGAATATTCATGTGAATATTTGGGCAAATTTTCAGTTAATTTCTGTTGTAAATATTGAAATTGCTGTAACTGATGTGGATGATAATATGCCAGCATTTCCATCTACCGTATCTAGACCATATAGACTGAAATTGAAAGAAGTTATCTATCGGTCCGGTAAACATGTGGAATTACCTAAGGCAATTGATATAGATGTACAACCAAGTCATGCTGAAATAGTCTATCGTCTTAATTCACATCCAGAGGATAAATCAAATTCCCTAGAAACATTTCGTTTAGTTGTACGCAATGATTCACGTCTTGTCCTTGTTTTACAAAAGGATTTAGACTATGAATTTGCTAAGGAATATCGTTTTTATTTAGTTTGTTCATCACCTCATATCGGTGGTGGCCAACATTTGGATTCAATAAATACTGAGGATCGACTAGAGATTATTGTGGAAGTACTTAATATTAATGACATTGAACCAACATTTTCACAAGCAGTTTATGAGGTACAGATTGAAGAAAATGTTCCTATCAATTCAACCATTTTTGAGGTAAATTTGATTTATTTTGTCACTTTTTCTGACAGTTAACAGATTGTTGTATCTTTCCTATTGTATATTTTAGTATTTCTTAGTAGTTTGTTAGAAGCATTAACTTCAGAATGTCTGTTGAAGTTGATATGGAAACCTGGGTGGCTTTGTGATTCATAACACTTGTGTCTATAAACCACCGAAGTGACTGAGGTGAAATTAATGCCTGGTCATCCCCAAAGTCCTGTATCTCACAGCATCACGAACAAAATTTTCATTTCACCCTAAGTCATCACTATGCACCATAAATACGAGTCTGCCAAACCATGGCCACCTCACATTGTCACATTAATTAAATATTGAATACGTTGAAACTAGTGAGTGTAGCGACTTATAATGAAACTGAATATATGCATTCTCACTTATGTAGCCTCGGTAGTTTCCTCAAGGAAGACATGAAAGTATACTTATTAGCTTTAATAGCTTGGTGGTATATTGCTAAGACGAATGGTGTTCGAAGAGAATTGTTTTTCTAATAAGACTTCGTTTTCTCCAGTAACTTAATTGATAACAGTAATGATGGATAGTAATCAGGAGTAGGAACCAAGACGCGTGTTTCATCTGATTCAAAATTCGTTGGACGGATGTACATACCTTTCAGTGAGCGATGTTGTTCCCACTAAGACTTAAACTCGTGAACAGTCATTTTGGACGCCAGAGCATCACTCAATAGGCCATCAAGTCACAATACCCACTTCTTGTGTGACAGTTGGCAGTTTGTGAACAATGCTACTTACGGAAAATTTCACTGTCTTCCTAACCAACCATCCTGAACATGAAAAAGGCAAACCAAGTTTCAATCATTGAGTTTCAGTTTATTATCAAAATTATTCTACGTATAGTTTCCGTAGTAGTTATGAATACGGCTGATAACAGTCACCTGACAGGAGGAATACTAAACTAGTTCTAATCTCTGCTGGGCAGTTTGAAAGGTTAATGTCAGAAATAGATCCCCATGTACACCTTTTGAATGTGGTAAGGAAACGTTTGTTGTGAATGGATATAATAGGTAGTATTCATTTATAACCTTTTTGATAAACCGAAAGGATTCTTAGAAAAGCGAAATATCAAAGCTAAATATAAGTACACAAAAAGCAACGCAACAGTTAATTAATAGGAATACTTAAATGTTGTACTGCAATATTAATGAGTCAAAAGTTATGAAAGTGACTGGCTACTTGTAAGTTGTATTTTAATCCCAGTAATCACAAACTTTATTAGGCTCCAAACTAGGAGTAAAAGAAGGTTTCCAGCAGTTACCACACCTTCACTGAACTGAATGCAGTATACTTAGAACTAGGATGAGTATTTCCGTAAGATAACTAGAGATTCAATTAGTAGGATGAACAGTTTGTAAATTATTTGGAAATTGAACGGTCTATGTTGCCGTTTCTCACAGCTGAATAACTTTTCAACTTCCCAATTGTGGTGTCAACACGGCTTCGTTGGAAACCCCTCTATAGATAAAAATGCAAGGTGTGATGTGATATCTGATACAAAGTGTCATGGACCATTAAAATATATCACTGAAAACCATGGGTATTTAGAAAACATCCAAGCCTATCTGTAGGTTTCGCCAGCCAGATGAGAGTGATCCAAAGACCGGACATCTGTTTTACTCATTCACAATCAAGTTAATCAGAGGTGCACTAAAAAAAAACCAGTTCATAGCGACGAATAGTTCATATCACATAAATGCTGCTAACTGACTTGAGCAACCTGGACAACTGCGTTCTATGAGCTCAGTTTATCCGGATACACTGCTGATGAGCTCTGTCTTAAATGAGCAAAACTAACATTCAGCGTTTACATCACTTTGATGTGGCTAAAGGAATTTGAAGAGTGGTTTCTAACTACTCATATTGTTTATTATTAAACTTAGAATGACCTAGTGTTTAAGCTAGATAGAAGCGCACCAGAACATTGAGTAATCTGAAGTTCGCCATATTTCCATACCAGGCATAATGCAATATGTATTAGTAGGAAATCGAACAGTAAAGATTTGAACAATTTCATTTTAACAAATATTAATGAAAATGCGCAAATTAAGGAAAAGGACATAAGAAAACATTGTTTTCGACGAAGAGATTCATGAGAATATTTATTAAATATTTCCACATTAACAGTCTCCACCAAGAGTATACTTCCATCGAAGAATTCTGCTCTTGATTCATAAATATTTCCAAGACAGGAAAACAGACAGAAGTTATCAAAAGAGCATAGATCTAAGCAATAACTAATATTACACAAAAAGTGGACATAACTGAAAAGAAGGAAGTTTTTGGGGAAAGACAATGAAAAACGAAGGGTTTGAAAATGTTTCCACTGTATGATTTACGTGGTTTTCCAAGCTATGCCTTGATGTCAGAGACTGAAAGGTGGTCTGCTTGCTTGCCTATCTCATAAGTATGAGTCTTAATTCCATTCTCAAGCTGATGTTTAGATATATTATGCTTTGTCATACCTGTAAAGATCCTTATGTCATTTACTTTTTACATACTTAGAACAGAAGACTTTCAGCAAAGAGTCACTCTATATTGTTTTTACAACCATTTTGATGTTGTTTGGTCCTGAGTCCTGATCGAATTGCATCGATGATTTTGCAATGTGACTTCCAAACTAGGAGGTTCACCGTAGCAATTTTATAAGTATGGGTTGGATAGAGGTAATCTGTAGAAAGCCGTGGATCTAGTTTTTATGTTTCTTGGCACACGTCAGCAAGGCATATCCGCAACCCTGACGGAACTGATTTCTCTCCCCTGAGATTCAAACCCATTTCATCCAGTGGCACAGTCAGTGACGTTACCACAGTTTTAGCCCGAATATCTCAGTGGTAACGCCAGTGACCGCAGTATTAGGTGTCGCGGGTTCGAATCTCAGGAAAAGAGACATCAGCTCCCATGAGGTTATAGATATGACTTGCTGACGAGTATTAACAGACACGGAACCCAGGCAGAACATGGGTTCCTGTTGATTGCATCCAACCAAATAACGTCCATCGAATAGACACTGTTTCCAGCGATATCATTCTCGAGCTCTACACACGGTAACATAAAAAGAATATTTCATGAAATGTTTTTGAAAAAATTCAGTTTTGATGACAAATCAGTAGATGATGAACAGAATTACGCAATGTTTGGAATAGTAATGCGGAGAAGACTTAACAAGATCAAAGCAATATTAAGTTACTCAGATAAATGATGCAATCTAACTAGGGGAGTGGTGAATGTAATGAGGAACCAGAATTTTAAGGGTGGAAGATAGTGACTTATGAGAAGTGATATATTAGTTAACGGGTAACCATAAAGGATTTTGAAGGTAAGATATTTTTCTAGGTTATATCCATTGTAACTAGAGTGACTGAATAAACTTCTTTTGAATGCAGCGTTCAAGCTTCAGTAAATGATTCTGAATATTTTTATTTACATGTGTATATCCACATCCATACTGAAGTCATCATTTATGCATTGTGTGTGATGTAGAGCAAGGCCTTTTTTATTTATTTGTCCTTTGGGTTCCTAGTGAAGCATATGGATTCAATAGCACGCCACTACTCCACTCTCTTCTCTCACGTCTTCTTAACCTAGCTCCACCACACCCCATAAACTTCCATTTATTCCTCACACTATCTCCTCCATGTCACACACGCCTCGGATGCCCAACTCGTCGTTTCTCATGCGGGTTCCACTCGACGGCCTGACCTGTCACATGATGTCCCCAAACCATCTTCTCATTGCATGAGATTAATGAGGGAGTATCTTGCTGTCTTTCCAATCCTGGCTTTGCTATTCTCATCTGTACCACAATCTGCATTTGAATGCATGCTACGCCGTCTTGGTAGGTGAAACAGATAACGTCCTCCAGAATTCACCAACTGGTGGTGATTAGTGCTCGTCGTTGTTGTGGTTGTTGTTCTTTGTTGGGCATCTTCATCACCAGTGTCTCCTCTAAATTCACTTGAAGTCCCGTCTCCCTTCGCTGCCTCGCCTCTTCTGTCAACTTGTGCTTTTTGCCTGTACATCTTCGAGTTTGTGCGACATTTGACATTAGACATGAATCGTTAACGCCGAAATCCAAATCTTCTTGTGGGGTCCTTTCATCGGTCTAACCAGCCTATGTCCATCTTCTCACAGCTCCTCACAGTTGTCTGTTGCACGATCCTGTCGAGTCGAGTCCAGTCCAATCCAGTCTAGTCCAGTCCAGTTCAGTCGAGTACAGTCAGGAGGATGTTCGGTGATGGTAGGTGGCAACCTTGTCTCACTCCTTCCTGTCTTCACTTCAAGGCATCATTGAATTTTCCATTGTAAATCACTTGGTGTGTGGCATTGTGGTGTAGCATGTATCTTCTGTTGGGCAAGGTTGATAAAGTTTTGTGTCACTAAGAAGATATTGTGGAAGCACCTGCCAAATAATTTCTTGGTCGACGCTGTTAAAGGACTTTTCAAAATCGATGAAGTTATGATAAAATTTTGTTTGCCGGAGAGGATTTTTTGGTCAGAACAAATTACTTACTTTTGTTTTGGTGCCGATATTTCTTGAAGTGCATTTTGTATCACCATTTGGGCCAATAACCCTTTCTTCGGGTTTCGTTTTCCGAAAGGAGTCACTGGCTTTAATATTACTGCACAGGTTTGTATATTGAAGTACTTCATAACTAAAAAATAATGGGTTTTAGAGAAGGATAGGAAACAATAGAAATTTCTGGTTCAGCTTTCACAGATTAGTGCAAAATCTAGTTAGAATTCACTTATCACAATGTCTGAGTTATACATTTTAACCAGTAGATTACATTTTCGTCTGGGGGATATTGTGTGCACCAGAATCCACAGCTACTTTAGATATGCTTTTATCAGTTAGCCTGTGGTAGAACTGAATTCTATATTAGATTTGTTAGTTGGTAGTTGGTTGACAGAAAGCCTCGGGCCTTTGTTTCGTGCCTACTGGTACTCGTCATTAGGATG